GCACAGCATGGCCGCCTAGTAACGGCCCCGACCACTGCCGCTCGACCTGACCGGAAAAAACTGTAGCAGGAAGCTATATATATATAATATAGTAAATATGTTTGTCATTTTTTGACAATATATATGGTCAATCCGGCACTTGAGGTAACTTCGCCGTTCTCTTGATGACACGTGTATGCATGCGCTGCCTGTTGCATACCCACTGTCGAACGATTCTTTTTGCTCTGCCTGCGATATCTCCCTTGCTGTGATTACATACCTGCTAAGTTCTCCCTTCTTCTTCTGACACGAGCATGTGTGCCCTACCTGTTGCACACCCACTGTTGGCCGAATCTTTTTGCTCTGCCTGCCATGTCTTCCTTGCTGTCCGTACCTGCTTCAACCATTTAATGCATTCACTTACTGTAACAAATGTTCAAAGTTGCAGGAACTTTCCAAGAACTGATGAATGAGGCCACCCACAATTTATTTCCATCCAAATTCTCTCTATTCCCATCTCTGCTCCTGCAACCCCAAAACCAAACAAATTTAGCTGTGGTTCTGGTTCCCAGTGTTGAATCAGGGTTGGACAGATAGATGTGTAGCTTCAGCCCCAGATCTGCCAATAGTATGCAGCATAGTTGCGGTGCATCTCGGCGCGCAGATTTGCGCATCCGTTGCGCACCGCACCAGAAAAATTAAGGTCGGGAAAAAGGAAAAAAAAAAGTAGTGGTTTCATAATTTCTTAGCCCCCCTCCCCTGCAAAAATCTTCAAGTCGGGGCGCGAGTTAGGAAACCAGCCACGCCCCAGGCCCGAAAACGTTTTTTGGGCAAGGGCTGCCGAATTTCGAATTCTGCAGGCTCCTCGCCCAAAAAAAAATTAAATGGTGGATCTTGAAAATAGGGCTCATTCCAGTTTTTAGTTTTTGAGGCGGGGTGTGGAAAGTTGGAAACTGCCCTTCCCCCTCCCTTCTGGAAAGCCCACACAGTGGCGGAAGAAATTAACGAGAAGGGTGTAATTGCCCTATAGTGACCTGCCCGACAGAGCTTCGCAGAAGTCATGTGATGTGCTTGGCAAGGCCAGCCGACCAGGAATATATGCTGGAGATTGGCATTCAGGTCGGCATGTCGGCAGTTATGGGTTAGGATGAAGATGCCTGTAGCTCTCTCGTTTTTYACTTTTTGTTTCCTTGTGAATACGTATAGTGACCCAAGGGGCCCCGCCCCACTACTCACCACATGCACAAAAGACAGCATATGGCGGTGTATGGTTCTATGTTTTAGCAGAAGATTCATTCTAATGTTATACATTTGGTGAGTGGTGGAGAGAGGCCCTGAGAATTACGTGGAGACACAAACATGGTCTAACTGAAATTGTGACCCATAACTGCCGAGCTACAGACCTGAACTCAGAACCCACAGCATATATCGGTGGTTGTATCCCACCTCTTCCACATGTGACACGGCCATCCTGCTTGTTGAAGCATTGGTCCTCAATGACTCCACAATGTTCACATACATTGTCGGAGCCAATTGAGTTATCTGCAGGGGCCCTTGAATTGACGTAAAGGGGGTCCTTTCTTTGCTCTCTCTCTCTCTCTCTCTCTCTCTCTCTCTCTCTCTCTCTCTCCGCCCAGGGCACGTATAAATGTTTTTTTGTTTTTTTTGTCCCCGTGCACCTGCCGCAGCGTGCGCACAGTGCGCGTGCGCGTGCTGTCATTCCAGCGCACTGCGCGCCGGCCCGTACCGCACTGCACACTGGTGCACCGCAACTATGATATGCAGGTGTAGGTTTGCCCTTTTTCGGTGTTAATGCCATGGTTGTAGCATCTAGAGTCCCTTCTTCTTCTGACACGAGCATGCATGCCCTACCAGTTGCACACCCACTGTTGAACGATTCTTTTTGCTCTGCCTGCTATGTCTTCCTTACTGTGATTACATACCTGATTCAACCATTCAATGCTTTCACTTATTGTAACAAATGTTGCTGTTGTCTGTTACGTTGAAGCGCTGTTCTGTTTCTCCTGATTTGTTCGATGAGTGGCTGAGCATATGTGTTATCGCATGTGGGACGGTGGCTGAATGAATGTCATCTGCTGTGGTTGCGTCTGTGGTATGAGATCACCAGGTTACTGATTGGTTACAGAGGGAGATGTGGACTGTCGGCGAACTCTGGTCAATGGTGACGTCATATTGCGGTCGGCGTTTGAATGGGGAAGTGAATATTGGCTTCTTTGACTGGCTTCTCCCAATGCCAGAGACAGGTGATTTCATACTCAGCTACTACATACACATCAACCTGCCCCTGCCTTCTCCTGTAATACTCTTTCGTTTCCCTCTCTTCTTTTTCCTTCTCTGACTCTCCTTTCTCCCTCCACCCTTCCCTCTGCCAACCCCTCTTCCTTTGCCCCTCTACTCTTACCATCACCTTGCAGCTAGCAGTTCTCACACCAAGGAGCAAGCTATGTGTTCATGTGCAGTCGTGGTCGGGTTATTGCAGGCAAATGTGCAGGGTGCTTCTCTTCTTCTAAAAATGCTTTCAAATTTGAAATTTCACAGCTCAAAACTTTAGACCAATGGAACAATCAAATAAGAAACCATGGAGCAGACTAAGTCTGCTTTGTTGCTCTTGTCTGGCCAGATTCCTGAAGATCTGTTCTTCTGAGACTTTGACAGATATGCAGACACAGACTTGAGGAGTTTGAGATGCACATGCACTGCACGTCCAACAGATTTCTATTTTGCTGGTCTGTCCCCTGTCACGTTCCTTTTCCTTCCTGTAAGGGTATAGTGTTTCAACCGTCACTGTCCTTGAAGCAAATTTTGTAACCAGCGCATGTTCCTGAGTCTGGAGGACCGAGCCAAAACRWTTTGGGCCTACTGCTAGCAGCAGGAAGCAACTATATGTGTACTTTACTACTTTTGCTGCCGTATTTTTATTTCAAATTGTTTGTCATTTTGTTCAAATTTATTGACATTATTCATGATTATTGTTTTTTTTTTTTKGGGGGGGGACCATTTCTCGATTTATGCATGTCATCCCGGCGCAGGGGCCATGCTAATCTTCTCTGTATCGTTCCAAGTTTAACGGATGTCCCGAAGGAAATGGTTTATTCAACTTTATTGTTCTAATAATTCTTCTAGAATCGTTTTCTACTGTACATCAGCACCCAGTCGGCGTCGCTGATATGTTTCAGAATTTTCATGAAAAATTATGGTTGTGATAGATCATCAAAGTCTGCAGACTCTGCACAATCAAAATTTGCCCACTCAAAATTTTGCGCCCTCTGCACTTCTTTTCCATAGTCGGGGACGCCTTCTTCTCCACTCTCCTGCTCAGGGACATCTTCTTCTCCACCCTCCAGCTC